AATAGGTATATGTATATGTTTATTATATATCCATATATATATATATATATATATATATATATCTACATAAATATATATAAACATATGTTAATATATATATATATATATAAAGATAAAGATAAAGATATATATATATATATATATATACGAGACTGATCAAAACTCAATGAGATCAAGCAGCTGCAGAACCGACTGGGTGAGCATATCACTGTACACGTGACATATTGAAACGCAATCATCACAGAGACGAAGAGAACGCATGCGATGACAATGAGCTGCCGCACAGCATCTTTAAACACACCGCAAACGCATAAGATATAACAAACACAACAGCCCCATAAGATAAACATACGAAAAATTCGCAATGAACACACATGCAAAAACACCAATAACAACAACTAAAACAGATGATTGATTCATAATTACACTTTACATAAATAGAACAACTCTAACAATATGCACATTACCATAGTTCGTACAGAAATCTTGTAACCACACACAACAACGCTAATGACAACAAACACACATAACTGTATAATCCACAAGGATCACACACAACATTTATATCAGCAACAACACCAAAACACACACACACACACACACACACCTGATCAATGCGCAGGTTGGGATCGGGCGAGATGACCGTTCGTGCGGTGAAGTTCACACGCTTCCCCGAGAGATTGCCACGGAATCGCCCCTTCTTCCCCTTTAATCGTTGGGCAAACCCACGAATAGGCTTGTCTATCTGTAGCGTCTTCTTCATCTGGGCCGACATCTGCGGGATGTCTCCGTCCAAATACATGGCCATGTACATCTGCAGCACTTCCCATAGATCCTCGATACCGTTGATTTTGTCGCCGGTTTCGAGTTTGGTTTTGATGAAGCCGTTCATGCGGATCATATCCGCTAGCTGTAGTATTACGCAGGGGGGGGGGGGGAAAGGATCAGTTGTTCTCGTTAGTAAGTTTGCAAGCATGACTATACAATATGTGCATGGTTACCATACAACATATATACATATATATATATATTGTGAGCAACTTATTTAGTTCGCGAACGAATTAGAGTAAATTAGCGTTTGTTCTTTATATGATCAAAGTAGTGTAATAGCTTACAAGGTTATGCGGACCTATCACCTCACAACATACATATAGTTTTAACCTAGACATTGTCTACCGTCCGCCCCTCTGGTTACTGACACAACATCTCGTTCCTGCGTGCCCAGTCTCATCACTAGGCCACCACTCACTACTATATTATACACTACTTTACACACTACGCTACTATACAGTTTTATGCTCTTCTTCTATTCGCCTACGCATACCGAATCAGCTGTATACATGAACCAATATCATAAGACATACAACACTATTCCATCACCCTAAAACTAACCCTCTTGCACCCGAGTCATCCAGCAATACTCACTACGACAAGTGGACCACACACATATTACAATACACACACACACACACACACATATATATATATATATATATA